CTAAATCATCCGCGATCGTCTTGTCTGTCTCACCCCACTCTTCTTGTCAGTCAGCTCGACTCACTCTCCTCACCGGAGAAATTAAATCTGATCTGTGATGCAACTGTCGTTCAGCACGCTGCATTGAGCATCCGCATTCAGTTTTTAATTGTAGTGTGTTCTTTTACTGAACTAAATGATTTTTATTACTATAAAAAATAAAAACGACGGTGGGGGTCGGTGACGTGGTGGGCAAGTGACGTAACTGGTGTTTCGGCTTTATCACCGTCAGCACCGTCTATCGCGGCAAGCCTACTGTGCTGTCAAGTTAGCAATGCTGGAACTGATGAGTTTTGTGTGTGTGTGTGTGCGCGCACGCCTGCGCGATCACTTCAACTGTTTCCTTATACCAGCAGAATCAACTTTAAACACTTATTGTCTTATTAATAATGCATCACTGTATAAAGGTCTGCTTTTATTTGTGTACACTCACAATGAAAACAAAACATTGTGCTTTTGTAAAATAAAGAAAACAAATAGGATGTTGCTTTCTGCCATTTGAGTTTCCTTTCTGTGAACAAATAAAGCCTGTCACAAAAATGAATTCCTTGTATGTATATATGTACTGCAGATTATATATATTTAACAATGTAATAATATTTAGTATTTTCACATCTAGGTGGAATTTTTTTTAAATTTGTACTACTGTCTGTTCAAAATAAATGAAAAGAAACCGAGCATAGTAGATTTGTTTTTTTTCCCATTGTAGCGAAATCGCATAGAACCGTGACTCCCGAACCGAGGTATGTACTGAACCGTGACATCTGGGTACCGTTCCCCCCCTAATAACAAGCAATAGGATACAATCTAGTCCAAACCATTCTTTAATTCAAGCTTCATTCAAAACTGGTTAATGTTCGCAATGAGAGAGTGAACTGCAGTGGTGTGCCTCAAGTGTCTTAAAGTGTCTCACTTTTATTGAGGCTCCAGCGTAGTGTGCCAGCTCTTTAATGTGTTGCCCTTTTTTCCCGATGAGAGCTCCTACTGCTGGAGTGGGGATGAAGAGGTACACCACTTCCTGTTCAGCAGTCTGAAACACACACAGACAGCCTTGACTCCTGCTAGTCAAGTTTAGACAGACAGACAGATGATAGACAGATAGATAGATAGATAGAGTGCTTTTTACGATACAGATTGCTTCAACAACTTTACAGTACACCATGATCTTCACAAAATTGATTCAGAATTCAATGATCTATTTCAACAATAAAGCGGCTGCAGCATTTTTCCGGTAAATTCAATTATAAAATCCTGTATTGTTTATTTTTAAATTATGATACCTAATGCATTAACTAAGCTTGACAGTGACACACTGAATCTTTGAATCAAAGTTAATTTATAATTCGTAACTTTTTCCATTTTAAAGTTCATTATTTGCATATAATGAAATCTATAAATTAAAGGGTCATGAGCGGTCAAGGGGGCACTGCATTTTTTTAAATATTATTTAATAATGTTTCCTGAGGTGCATCTATAATCTTAGTATGTTTTTCATCAAGAAATTGTATTTATGGTAATTTTCTGCCCTGGATAGATGGGTAGAAAAGAATAAGTCATATAAGAATAATTCATATTTTAAAGTGGGGAGTTTTAAGCTTTAAACCTTGCATGTAAAACTTACATATGTTTTTTTTTTTTTTGTTAAACAACCTCTTATATGTATAAAATAAAAAAAACATTTTGATTCTCCATTTCTCCTCTTTATTAATATCATTCAATGATTCTGGCAATATGCCATGTGTCAACAGGTTTATGCGAAATACATGCAGAAAAATATAATTTATTATTAAAAACCACATTTACAACATTTATATGATTTTTTTAACATTTCAGTTTTATTCTACATGATTAATTTCAAATTCGAATTATTGTTCTGCATCTGTTTGATACCACAATTCAAAATCATGAACTTAATTATTATTTAAAAGACATTTTTAATATCCTGAAGTTCTGAATGGCTCAGAAATCTGCAACCTAAAAAAGGGGCAGATGAATGTGCTACAAAATGATTTATAATACATGTAACTGAAAAGGTTCTTATGAGCTTAAGATTGTCATGACATACAGTAGTGTGCAGATTTATGGAAAATTATTATGAGAGATGTATACTGACATACACATATAATAACAAGTACTCACTGCTTGCTGAAGAGATAATGCTCCAGAGGAGGGAACCCCATACAGACCACCCAATACTGATGGGGGGCCCTGCAGTGGCAAACACACACATGGAGGATGTGGTGAGACTAATGTAACCCAACATTTTAAAGCAAACAGATGGCTATTTAAGAGATAAATCACACTAAGATGAAAGGACAACTATCTATCACACTCCCTTTACAGATCACACATTCTTTTCTCAAATCATTGACAGCTTAAAGGGGTGAGATGATGCAATTTAAATTTTTCCTTTCTCTTTGAAGTGTTACAAGCTCTTGGTGCATAAAGAAGATCTGTAAAGTTGCAAAGACTAAAGTCTCAAATCCAAAGAGATATTCTTTATAAAAGTTAAGAGTCAGCCACACCTACCTAAAACGGCTCGTTCTAACACGCCCCCACATGTCTACGTCACGATGTGGGAAGATTTGCATATCGCCGCCCAAATGTTCACGCAAAGAAAGAAGGCGTAACTTTTATTCTCGCTGTAGTATTGTTGTTGCCGCCGCCATGTCGTGAAGGCACTGTGTGATTCGTTGTGAAAGCGAAACTACTTTGTTTGGCCTTCCAAAAGAGGACGATATCACTTCGTCATGCCTGGAGCTGATCCGTGCTGGTGGCTGAGGAGATACTTCAACTTCGCGCTGTCGATCGCCGGATCGGCTTTCACCGTGGACGAAGCGGAGTCCAGCCCGGGGTCGTCACATGCGGTTGCCGCAGGCATCACAATATGGTAAGGGACGTAACATTTCCGTCACACACTTGAGGAATTCGGCCAATCACAACACACTGGATAGCTGGCCAATCAGAGCACACCTCGCTTTTCAGACCGACGAGCTTTGTAAAAATCTACGCGTTTCAGAAAGGCGGGGCATAGAGGAGAAACAATAATGTACAGTATGTGGAAAATAATGTGTTTTTTGAACCTTAAACCGCATAAACATTTCATTACACCAAATACACAAAATAATGTTCTTTTTAGCAGCATCATATGACCCCTTTAAAGTCCTGATATACACAAGCACATCCTGATGCTCACCAGCAGTGGGCTGTAGTTGGCTGGGGCAGACAGAGATCCATGCAGACCAGAGGCTGGAGGCAGAACAGACAAGCCAGAGGAGAAGATCCCCAACGCGCTCAGATTTAGACCTGGCATCATGTTAGTCTGCTGCTGAAACCAGAGATGGAGAAGGATGTGAATCTGAGAGTACAAGTGAGACTTTATGCAAAGCGTGGAATGAATCAGTCTTGTTCAATTTCACAGGTTTATGTTAAGTCAAACAGTTACTGAATCAGCAAATTAAATGGATTAAACGAATGCAGTTCTACCGAGTTAATGCCAATTCACATCCACACTCTGCCTGATAATCACTGTCTGTCCAAGCAAAACAAGTTCTGCTTTACTAAGATTAAAGAAACAGGATTAAAGCCACTGTTAAACCCAAACACTGTGTGAGAACAGTTAAAGGATATGTTTGGTGTTTGTCAGTCCATATTACATTGTTCTCTGCAATACTTGATTCAGATCAATTGTGAGTATATAAGTCTACTGATGGACAATTCTATATTTACATTGACTGCTTTATGTACATGTCATTGCTGTCCATGGTAACATGCCGACACATTCATATCTCAAGTTGAAAAGCTTAACTGTCCTTGGAGGGCATCAGTAATTTTATAGTAATAAACCTTTCGGTAGATGACTACAAGTTGACCTATTTTTTTCCTGATTTAACCCATAAAAATTAGTTCAGTAAAGCATTTAGGTTAACGCATTTAGGTTGATTAAGCAAAATTAAATACAATTTTAGACTGATGACATCACGCCGGATCTGGGTCAGCGCCGCCACACGCTCGCGTCATCATACTGTCGTGAACGCGCGTCCACAAGTGTGGAAAACACTCACTTGTACTTTTCTGGACCTTGAACGTGGTAGTTACCTTGCTGTCTATGGGAGGGTCAGAGAGCTCTCAAGATTTAATCAAAAATATCTTAAATTGTGTTCCGAAGATGAACGAAGGTCTTACGGGTTTGGAACAACACGAGGGTGAGTAATTAATGACAGAATTTTAATTTTTGGGTGAACTAACCCTTTAAAACTGGCTCCTGATTTACCAAAGTTTTAGAATATGTCACAATACACAAAAGAAAGGGGACTCTTTGGGTGGTTGTTTGACTACATTCGATTGCAGGAGAAGTTTGGAGGATAAAAAAGGTATTTTTCTACAACCAATGAAGTTTTATAATTACACATTTTTAAAATAAAATACCCAATCCTTCTAAAAATACAGGTTTAAAGTTCTGTAAACATGGGCTTTTACTTTTGACAGCAACTCCCACATAACTGCACAGAGATCAGTTCAGGTCAGGTCAGTTTCAAAAGAATCAAAACATGCAAACAGTTTGGAGCACATGTCCATGTACATTCATAATTCTCCACTTTTTATCTTTAAATAGGGTTGTCAATAGATAAAATAATTAATGGTGATGCAAATTTTGAAGTGATATTTCAGCTTTCAGCTTTAATAATGATAAATTCTTCTGTTAAAAGTCCCATCTGGATTCAGTTTGCAAGTAAAGGTTAAAGGCTTCCTTCATCATTTACAAACAAACAAGAGTATTGTTGTAGGATTAGTGTGTTTAAGAAGAGAAAAAAATACTGGCCCTATATAACTTATTATACGACACTTTTCACAACCCCTGTTGTTTCAAAGTGACTTCACATAAAACTGTTCCTATCTCTATAAACAAACTACCATCCATCCACCAATAAACCTCGAAAGCTATGATTTACTCACATTAAGTGAAGCCACATCATTCTCATGGGCTTCTCTAAGTTTCTTCATGATCTCCACTTCTGCATTACAGCACTCCTCCACCACTCCCCTCACCGTGATGGTACGTTCCTGGTTATATATAGTTAGGTCTTGTAAGCTACAAAAAAAAAATAAATGAAGAAAATAAGCATTGCCACTTCAGATGAACAATCAATACATACACAATAGGGCTGTGTGATATTGAAGAAAAATGTGATATGCAATAACTCATTAAATAATGTGATATTCAATATGCGATACGATAATGTGCCACATGCTCAGATGAAACCGTTTTACTCAGCTGTTGCTGAGTCAGTTCTGTGAACTATCTTGTGTCATATATATATATGGTTCTTTGTATGTATGTATGTATGTATGTATCAAGAGCTCCTGTAAAACCACAACAAATTCCTTGTGTTTGCGCACACTTAAGTGGTGAATAAAGCTCATTCTGATTCTGATTCTAATATAACTAGCATACGTTTTACTTTTTGTGAGAAGAAAGCACCCCTACAACAACTTCTGAAAGTGAACGGTAGTGTTTTACTCTAGCATTACATAAAAATGTCATTTTAACATTTAACATTTACTCTATGAATTCAATTTGCACTGATTCTTACTTAAGCTACAAAAGTTATTTAGGTAAGAGCAGTGAGTGATTTTCTCTTTGTCTTTTGTTCATGGCCCCAAATATTGCAAGCCGTAGCGATATGCATATTGCGATATGTACATTTGCGATATTTCAATAGTTTCGATATATTGCACAGCCCTAATACACAATTATACCACCGTTTCATCACTGGGTCCTATCCTATGAGACATTGTTTAATCTTTAATTGATCTCATCAGTTCAAGATGATCTATACAGAGCAAACTTACGAAGAAATAGTGATCTTGGTCCCAGTATCTTGCTCTATCTTCTTCAGGTTCCTGCCCTCCTTCCCTATGAGTCTCCCAACAAGGCTATTGTGGGCCAAGATCTTCAGAGGAACCTCTTCAACACTGATTCAGAGACAGAGCACACAATATTATTTTCATTTTTTATTTATTTTTTATAATAGATCTGAGAACAACGAGGTTATTTGCTTATTTACACAGTTTTAAATTATTTGTCTTAAAAGAATCAATCCTAAAGCAAATGAAGCATGTAAAACTTTAATGTGCCCTACAGTCTGAAGGGATACTGACATCTTGGTGTCATTGGCCTCTTTTTCCATTATTTCCAGGATCATCCTGCAGGCTTGTGAACAGCCCTCTTTAGATGAGTGGATAGTGATGGCCTTCTCAGTTGCTCCTGCATTCTCCTTACGATGGATATCTACCCTGAGACAGAGCAAAGGATGACCTTTATCACATTTTTTAATTTAACTGTCACGTGGATAGAGCAAAATGGATATTGAGAATAGGTTATGATCTCAGAAATAAGAATGACTATGCAATGTTAGTGATTAGAGGTGCTCAATATATTGTAAGCCAATATATTATTTAGTTTCATTGACAAAAACTAAAACCATAAAAAATTATATTTTGCAATTTGAAAAAAATGTTGTTTTTTATAAAATAATTGAAATAAGTATACCTGATATATATATATATATATATATATATATATATCATTTATATTTCTCATTTTAATTTAGTTCAACTTACTTTACTAAAATAACTAAAACACATAAAATTTAAAGGGGTCATATGATGCGATTTCAATTTTTCCTTTCTCTTTGAAGTGTTACAAGCTCTTGGTGCATAAAGAAGATCTGTAAAGTTGCAAAGACTAAAGTCTCAAATCCAAAGAGA